ATCAATAACATATTTGATCCCATCAATTGTCAGCGAGGTTTCAGCAATATTTGTAGCAAGGACAACCTTACGGGCCCTTTCAGGAGTAGGTTCAAAAATTTTGGCTTGTAGCTCTGTTGGCAGATTAGCATATATTGGGCAGATAATTAGCTCTGCTATTTTTGTTCCCAGGCCCTTGATCCTGTGCTTAATGATCTCCTCAGCTGTCTCAATTTCTTCCTGCCCAGTTAAGAAAACTAATATATCGCCATCACCAGGTGGTTGGGTCACATGTATCTGAAGTGCAGTGACAATGGCTGCATCCAAGTAATCTGCCTCAGGTGCTTTAGTATAGTGTATATCCACTGGAAACCGCCTTCCGGGTATTTTAAAAATGGGAGCTGAATCAAAATAGTCACTGAACTTCTCGGCATCTAGAGTAGCACTAGAAATAAGCAACTTGAGGTCAGGACGGAAACGAGCAATATCCTTAACCAAGCCAAAAAGAATATCTGTTGATAATGTTCTTTCGTGCGCCTCATCCACCATGATAACACTATAACTTGCCAAATCAGGTTCCCCAAGGAATTCACGCAACAACATCCCATCTGTCATATACTTTAGAATGGTCTTCTCTGAAGTGCAATCTTCAAATCTGATTGAATAGCCAACCTCATGTCCAAGTTTGACACCCATCTCTTGGGAAACACGAGCAGAAACACTCATGGCAGCAACTCGGCGTGGCTGAGTGCATCCCACCTTGCCACGCTTGGTGTACCCTGCCTCGTGCAAATACTGAGGTATCTGAGTTGTCTTCCCAGAACCTGTCTCTCCAACGATGACTAGAACCTGGTGCTCATTGATAGCTTGGAGCAACTCATCCCTATATGGAAAGATGGGCAAAGTTTTCCTGTCTGCTTGGAGTTTCTCAAATGCCGATTTAGCAACAGATGCTTCCAGTTCCTCAATCGCAGACTCCTGATCAACATTAACTCCGTCCATGACTGCCGCTTTTATGAACTCAATCTGGTCTTCAAATACAAATTGGTAATCTTCAGATCTTGCCTTTCGGTCTTTTGACCCAAATTTGAGTGTAGCTTTGCCAATTTGGTGATCCTCCCAAGCTTCTTGTTCAGCAAAGGGGTTCATCTTATCATTAGCATCGGGATCCCTGTAGCGTTGCAATGCAACAGCAAACCTCTTCTCTTGATTCACATCCCCGTCAAGATCATATGCATCGGGAATCCTATACTCGTTTCTATTATCTTCGTCCTCAGTACGCTTCTTGATTAGATCATATAACTCTCTCTTGTACCTCATCTCCTTATATTCTACTTCAGTTAACTTCACGGAATCAAACAAGTATTGCTCATCTTCTATCTCATCTCTGAGTTCGTCTAGTTTCTTCTGCTCTCTTTTCTTCAGGTATTCTTGCCTAGAGACTTTCCTCAGAGTTCCAATCTCATCTTGCTCCAAAGCATTAGATCTTCTGATTGCCTCTTCTTCTTCCTTTTTGGACAACTTTTTCTCAGTCAACTTTCTTGTTGAGGCAGCATCCCTTTCCCTTATGTGCCTCTCCAACTCATCTCTCTCCTTTTGGTCACGCAGCCTTTCCTCCTCTGACTCCGAACCACTACTACCATCACTGTCATCATTCCACTTTCGCCTCTTTACCCGCCTTTCCTCTTCTGTTTCCCCTATTTTCTCTTCATCTTCATCCGCATCAGATTCAGCCCTCTTCCTAAATCTCTTTCCACGGCCTTTCTCTCGCTTATTATCACGACTGACATTAATATCAGCATCAACAACAACATCACCATCATCATCTTCCAGAAGTGTGTAAGTATTTTGCTTCTTTGCAAGCATAGCTGCCTCCCTTTCTTTCTGTTGATATAGACTTGGACCTTTAGCCTTGTGCTCAACTCTCTGAAAAATCTCTTCTGCAAATGACTTTGTTTCGGGTGTTGAAGATACTCCCACTTCAGTAAGCATACTCAGAAGCTCATTAGGAGAAGAAGCTTTCTTGGCTAAACCAATCACATAATTAACCAGCGTAACTTGAGAGTATCCTAGAACTAATATCAAAGAATCCGAAACCCACTTCTTCAAATCACTCCCCATTTCTAGTTCAATGAGGTTGCAAAATGAGGTAACAGAGGAGCAGACGTGTTCTTCTTGCCCTAAATGCGTCGATCGGAATGCTCTGAATTGGGGCGCTGAATTAAAAAGTTCTGATTGGCAGCCTGAATCGAAAATTGGGGACGAAGAGATCGGCGAATAGTGGGAATCCAGCAGGGCCGGTCCAAAGAAAAAATTGGCCCTGTGCAAAAATAAAAGGTTGGCCTCAATTGACTATCATATATGATAAAAGTTAAATTTAAAGAAGTCTCATACTAATTATTGAATTTTTTATAATAAGGAAGAAAACATCATATCACTACCCGTTTACATAAAAAGAGATACTCTCTTTGCACATTTTGATGCAAAATCTTCAATTAAGCTCTCCATTTGCACTTGTTCCAACATCCCATATTGAAACAATTAGCAAAAAAACTTTTAAAAGAAGAAAAATTTAAAAAGCCTATTTTTTATCAAATTATAATTTATTAATCATTGTAATTAAAAATCAATTTTCATAAAACTATTCAACTATAGAACAAGAAAACATAGATCACACATTTAACAACTAAAAAAAATTAGGGATTTGATCATTAAAATCAATAAATTAAAATAAATCATATGTTCATGTTCATACAATCATACCTGAAGAGTGAAGACTGAAGGGTAATTAGCGGATGGAGAAGTACTGGACGGCGTAGATGTGAGGCGACGGCGCGGCAAATCTTCTTCTTCCTCTGTCTTAGACCTTCCGACCTTCGTTCTTCAATTCTTCCCGTTTCTTTGCGGCGATGTGAGGCGATGCGCAGTCGCGCAGATGTAAAATTTTTTTCAATACTCCGTATATTTTTTTACCATTTTGGGCCTATTATTACATCTTAGTATACTAGTAATACTACTACCTCTAAAAAATAATTGAGCCCTTGTTTTTTTGGGCCCTGTGCAGTTGAACATCTTGCACAGGCCCAAGGCCGCCCCTGGAATCCAGTTAGGTTAATGATACTTGCTTGGTCTAATGGTCTCGCATGGCGCTTGGCGGAGAAGAGGAGATCGGCACAGAGGAGAGAGAGAATAGGGTTAGGGCTTTGGAGAGATAATTTAGGGGGAGAGGGATATTTTTATTACTTCTTTCTATTCTGAAAATTCTTCCTGTTTTGATTTATTTTAGGGGCTGTTTGTTTCAGCCTCTTAATGGTTCAGATGTCTGAATGATTCAGCACTTAATGGTTCAGACTGTTTGTTTCAGCCTCTTAATGGTCCAGATGTCTGAATGGTTAAGAGATTTGCCTCTGAATGGTTAAGTATTATACAGAGTCTGAATGGTTAAGAGCTCTTATCTGAATTGATCAGACATTTGCCTCTGAATAGTTAAACAATATACTAGCTCTTAATGGTTCAGACCTCTTACTGGTTCAGCACTTAATGATTCAGACCTCTTACTGGTTCAGCACTTACCCATTCAGAAGTT